AAGATCTAGAGAACCTTTCCCTTGGCTACGAATTAATCTATGGAGTATTCAAAATGGTTGAATGTGCAAGTTAGGAAATGAGCACATTTGTTATAGCAATAACCCTCAATTGAATTATAGTTTTAGGTTTTTCATGCAAGATATTTTAAAATTGTCCCTATTGATGGTCCAGTTTTCTCGTTAAAAAAAAATGTATTTCTGAAAACAACAACCAAAGCAAACAAAATAACTAAAATGTAAGAAATTGTTTAACTTTTGTGTCTCTACAATGTCAGAAGAAACACAGTGAAGAGGGTATGTCATAATCATTCTACCACAATAGATAATTCTTGATTTTTGTTGTTTGTTTTGTTTTGCTTTGTTTTCTGCCTCTGTATCCTCTAAATTTTCTTTAGAAGTTCACAGGCATTTTCAATGTCCTACTTATGGAAAATATAACATTATGTTCCTGTAAAAATGTTTAAAAGCTATTTGGGACCTATATAATTAGAACCATGAAATTATAATACAAGTATCCTTTCCTTTGACTAAATACATTGCATACTATTGCATATTGCAAAAGAATTTTCCTCCTTTAATCCCCTTTGATTGCTATAACTTGGTGATAAATGAATTCTTAGAGGAGTAATACGTGTATCTCACCTTAAATACCTTAGGTTGGCTTTTGTGCAAATCACAGGCTAGCCTCCTAGGTGTAGTAAAAATGGAATGAAATGGAATTGAATCCATCTCTACTAAGCTAATTCCTCTCTACTTCCTATGTTGGATTTTGACAACTGTCTAGTTTACTGAGAAACATATCAATAAAAAGTTGGGAGATGAAAAAGTTTTGATAGGATATTTTTCTAATCTTGAATTTTAATATCTTTCTGTACAAGCAATAAACACTCTGCCTGGAATCTAGGATAAGTTCAATAAATGTTAGTTACAAGGTTTCCTATATATATTATGATATATTTTTACTATAAGTGAGGCTAGTTTCCCTGTTTGCATCATGTAAACCAAAGTGAATACTTTTTTTAACTCCAGACTGTATGTCTTACTGCAGGCCATACAATCTTGTCAGAAGTAACCACCTCTGCTGCTGTAGCATGAAAGTGAATCATGAACACATCCAGTGTGTATGGGGGGTGGGGGACTTTGTCCTACTAAATCTTAATTTTCATAAATAGGTAGTAGGCAGGATTTAGCCACCAGGCTATAGTCTATTGCTGATGTAGACTATTTAAAATTGAACATTTTAAGTTGAACTATAGAGTGATCCACAGAATACAGAATAAACCCAAGGGAATTTTGTGTACATTTCAATTTTTTAAGATTTATTTATTTATTTGAAAGGCGGAGGTAAAGAGAGAAAAGAGAGAAAGAGAGAGAGAGAGAGGTCTTCCATCTGCTGGTTCACTCCAAATGGCTGCAACAGCTAGAGCTGAGCCAGTCTGAAGCCAGGAGCCAGGATCCTCTTCCAGAATTCCCACATGAGTAAAGGAGCCCAAGGACGTAGGCCACCTTCTACTACTTTCCCGAGTCACAGCAGAGGGCTGAATTGGAAATGGAGCAACTGAGTCTTGAACCAGCACCCTTATGGTGTGCCAGCACTGTAGGTAGCAGCTTTATCCACTATGCCACAGCACCGGCCCCTGTACATTTCATTTTAAAATTTTGTCTAAAGACCTTCTGTATGGCCCAAGCCCTGGGGCCCCTGCACCCAGTGGGAGACCCAGAAGAAGATCCTGGCTCCTGGCTTCAGTTCAGCGCAGCTCCGGCCATTGAGGCTAATTGGGGAGTGAACCAGTGGATGGAAGACATGTCTCTCTGCATCTTCTCTCTGTGTAACTCTATCAAATAAATAAATCTTTTTAAAAAAACAGAGCTTTTGAACATTTTTGAATTATGTCTAATTCATTTAAACCACTTAATTTTTTCAAGGTTTCAAAGATTCTGTAATAATTAAATAATATAATATTTAAAATATAAAATAAGGAGTCTTGTTTTACATTATATATGTGATGGTAACCCAATTAACTTTGGAAATTTACTGCTAACAACTGGAAAGCACCACCACAATTGGAACTAATTTAAAACTATGTGATCGACTCAATCTGTGACTGATATCCATTTCACAATGTTATAACCAGCATTAATCTATAAAATGGGAAAGATATAAGGTTTATTTCATTAAATTCAAAAGTAGGAAGAATATTAGCATAGAAACTTCCAGTCAGGGAAAAGAAAATCAAAAATAAACAAAAAACTCAAGTCTCTCAAGCTGAGAAATTACATCTAGTATCTATGGTGTTATATTTCAGGGTAATTTGATACTGTGTCTAAAAGCAGATTGATGTCTGCAAGATCCTTCAATACAGCAAAGCAAAAATATTCAGCCTAAATATAGGACAGAATAATATCACAGAATTGACATTGTTGGTGAAAGCCTGTGAGAATCAAATAAGAAAGGATTATAAATCATTATACAGGTAAAGTGCTATCTGGTTGCCTAATAATGTTTCTGCTAATGATTTTCCTCTCCTAAAAGTTCACGCCAACCATTTGATTTCTTTCATGTATCACCCATACAATTTTGTTCTTCCTAGTGTCTCAAATACCAGTCACTGAGTTAAAACCATTTGGCAGGCAGTCATAGAGTACCTATGACAAAGAGTAGTAATTGTATTTAAGTTCTTATCCTAAAAATAGAACTGTCATTTCTGTGTTAGATGAGATGGGTTTGAAAGGCTTACAAGGGTAACTCTCTTAACGAGTGGTGATGACAACTAAAGCTATGAACACAACCACTGACCACTTCTAATAATGCCATTCCCTCAGAAAGTATCCTACCTAGTTCCTGTTTAACACATCTTTGAATCACTAATTTATGACTTACTGATTCTACCTCCAAGTTTTATTGCTGGGGTTAAAGCAGCAAGCTTTTTTTTTTTTCAGATGGTGAAAGTGAAAATAGATTTGCAAGAAGAAGGCACACTTGGGAATGCAAACCAAAGTCAGATCATGGAAGAATCTCTTTGATCCTAATTCCCTGAATCACATACAGGTGTCGGACCTTCTTAGGCTCTGTTGATATTAACTAGGCGAGACAAGAGGTGACTTGTATGAGCAGTCTGTTTGTTGTTCCAGATCTCTCCTACAGCAGTTCTTCAAACTGTCACAGTGTTTAAGAAGCCCTCAGAGAGCAATAGCATAAGCACTCCTTGTGTTTATGCTCAACAGAGACAACTAGAAATGATGAGTTTATTTTGCAAATTTAATTTAGGAAGATTTTTCATTGTGCATACACATCTTTTTCTGAAAGTCACAGGCAAAGTATTAAATTTCTTTCGGGCCAAACTAAATGCAGTTTTTGCTTTAACTCAGTTGAGAAATATAGAAGTACAAGAACTAAACAATATTAGAGGGAATGGCAGCATTTAGTTCATTGTGCATGAGAGTAGTTCAGAGTTTCACAGAACTATATATGAGTGCACAAAAATTCATCTAGGTGCTGCGGTCTATTTTCAACCATACTTTCTGCTGCATACAAACAATATTACCAGAATGTAAACAATAAAGATGTGTGTACTTTAGCAGAACATAGTAACTGAGACTGTTGGAATTCGAATTAAAGAACAAAAACTAGATTTAAATCCCTAACCCAGAACTTATTAATTCTATGTCTTTGATAAGTTACTTAATTATAAGCCTCAATTTCCACACTTATATAACGGAGATAATAAATACACCTACCTCATAGAATTATTGTGAGGCTCAGATAAAATACTTATGAAGCTGCTAGTCCAGAGCCTTGTGCAAATTAAGCACTGATTACTGAAAGCTTGTTGGATTAGGGCAGGGAGAAATGAGTTTATTAAAAATCATCCCCAGATCAATCATATGGCCCAACAAAAATGATCTCAACAGCACCAAGTATTTATCAGACAATGAAAGAAGGGAGATCTGCCCCTGTAGAGCAAAGTTAACTACTGATTCATATCTCCCAAGTGTGTAAACACAAAAGTTCTTTCTGGTTTCTCATTATCATATTTACACCTAAGACCCAATCAATGAAGAAAAGACATAGGTGAGGATGTGGAAAATAGTCATTATTGGATCAATTCCTTTATAATATTATTCAATACATGTGTAGATATGAAACTACTAGTTAGTTCTGTTTAAGCAGGAAAAAAAATTGCAATATTCTGAACTGAAACATAGAGGATATATTTTGTTTCTTCTTATCAAAACAAGTATTTTAAAAAGTCTGGGCTGGCGCCGCGGCTCAATAGGCTAATCCTCTGCCTGCGGTGCTGGCACCCCGGGTTCTAGTCCCAGTCGGGGCGCCGGATTCTGTCCTGGTCGCTCCTTTCCCAGGCCAGCTCTCTGCTGTGCCCCAGGAGGGCAGTGGAGGATGGCCCAAGTCCTTGGGCCCTGCACCCACATGGGAGACCAGGAGAAGCACCTGGCTCCTGGCTTCGGATCAGCGTGGTACGCTGGCCGCAGTGCGCCAGCCACAGCAGCCACTGGAGGGTGAACCAACGATAAAGGAAGACCTTTCTCTCTGTCTCTACCTCTCTCACTGTCCACTCTGCCTGTCAAAAAATAAATATATAAATAAATAAAATAAAAAGTCTGTAAAGTATTTTTTGCACAGACTGATTCCTTATCACAATTTAAGAAGCCATTTTGCAATGCTCATTAGATAGTCAATATTTTTAACTATTAAAAATGCTTGCCTATCCCTTTAAAATATCCCAAATAATTTAATATTAACAAATTCAATGAGGCTCATAAGTAAAACTACTTAATTTCAGCTTGAAGAATTCATTTCATAAAAACAATAGCACAAATTAAACATTGCTTTTACTACCTTTCATTGAGTTTGTGTGTCTTAATTATAGAACTATTGTCTACATTGATGTCTTACAAACAATTTTTATGAATCATTAGTAATTTTTAAAAGTATTTAATGACTTAAGAATCATTTCTACTTTATTTCCCCTTTACTTTACCTCCAAAATTTTCTCACTTCTTGATGTAAGAGAGCCACATCATTGTTAATCCTGTAAAGATAAAAAAGAGAGAAAATGGAACAGGTGTGTAGCCTAGTAGTTAAAACACTTGTTAAGTTGCACACTTTCAGTCTTGGAGTATTTGGGTTCAATATTTGGCTTCAGTTCCTAAGTCTAGCTTCCTGATAATGCAGGCCTTGAGAGGCAGTAGTGGTGATCAAGTAATTAGGTTCCTGCCACCCAAGTAGAAAGATATGGATTGAGTTCTAACTTCCAGATTCCAGCCCAGTCCTAAAAAGAATAGGGGCCAGTGTGGTAGGATAGCAGATTAAGCTGCTGCCTGCCACATTGGCATCCTGAATGGGCACTGGTTTGAGTCCTGGCTGCTCCACTTCTGATCCACTTCCCAGTTAATATGCCTGGGAAAGCAGTGGAGGATGACCCAAGTCCCTGGGCCTGTGTACCCACAGGGAGACCCAGAAGAAGCTCCTTGCTCATGGCTTCAGCTTGGCCCAGTTCCAGCCATTGCTGCCATTTGGGGAGTGAACCAATGGATGGAAATATCTCTCTCTCTCTCTCTCTCTCTTTCTCTTTCTCTCCTTCTCTCTGTGTGACTCTGCCTTTCAAATAAATAAAATATATCATATGTACATATATATGTTTATATATACACATACACAAAAAGTATGTTTACGTATTTCATAGGTATAATTCAATTTATTTTATAATCATAGGATTAATGCACAATTAACCATCATATTCAGTAAGTAAAAGTAGAAAGACCACATTCCTCAGGAGCATAGATAGTTCTAAAAAAGCAATCAAAACATAAAATGTCAGTTCCATTCTCATACATTTTTTGTATTATGTATTAACTATCACATATCACAGCAAACATATTTGTCTTTTGGGGACTGGTTTATTTCACTAAACATAATGGTTTTGAGTTGCATCCATTTTGTTGCAAAAGACAGGATTTCATTCCTTTTTTATGGCTGAGTAGCATTCCATGAAGTATGTATACATATACATACATACATATATATAATAAAATATATAATTTCCTTTATCCAATTTGTAATTATATCATCATAGGAATGTAAATTTTATCCACAAACTACTATTTACTGAGAACTTATAGTGCAAAACACTAAGACGGACCTACAGATGCTAACAGTACCATGACTCACTCAGATCCTCTGTTTTATTGTTCACTGTTTTGTTAACATGGAACCTCATCCTCTCCCAAATTCTAGTTTGAATTAAAGATTCAACTTACATGTTACCTTTTCCTCAAAAACATGCTTTGCTCTCCTATAAAATTCTAAACAATCTTGTAGTATAATATGATAATTTCATTCATCAATAGGTTCTTGACTAACTTCCACAGAGAATAAAAATTCCTTTGAGAACAGAAGGAGGTATTAATATTTTGTCCAGAGCCCCAAGCACAGTGTCTGGCAGAAATGGACATACAATTCAAAATATGAACAAATAAAGTTACAAATGATTCTAGGAGCTTCCGTAACAAATAAGACTATATAATGGATGCAAATTTCATCCCATCTCTGTTTTCTTTTAGTAACACTCATCATTTCACAATTTTATTGTAAAGTGTCCTAAGGCAGAAACTTTTAACATTTATCACCTTTATAATAACTATAAAGCCAATAATGCAGAGATTATTTCAGAGAACCCATATAAAAAGTTAACAAAAAGGAAAAAGAATCAGGACAGTAAGTTAGAAAGGAGAAACTGAAAGAAAGAAAGAAAATTCTGTTCCATCTGAGGTAGTGGTAATATGTATTTCCAGTCAATTTCCCTTTCTTCTTCACCAAGGCTCTCCTTTTGTCATTGTGATTACTAAAGGTATGATAGTGTGTAGGTACCCAATGATCTGACACAACACATACAGAATATTGTTCATCCTTTGCTGTGAAAGCATTTACCAGTATATGAAGTAAACAAGTTTTATCTCTAAAAATATACTTTAACTTCCTCTATTTCTTATTTGTATTCTATGATAGGAGAAGCATGTTTTTCCTGGTGGTCATATCTAACATGTTTGTAGGCTGTCACTAAGTTTTCATTGCAAATAATGCTAACTTGGACCTAGTTTTAAGGCATAACATAAAGCCACTACCTACAATGCCAGCATCCCATTTGATACCAGTTCAAGACTCAGCTGCTCAAGTTCGAATCCAGCTCCCTCCTAATGCATCGAGGAAATCAGTTGAAGATAGCCCAAGTACTTGGGGCTTTGTACCAACATGGGGGACTCAGATGGAGTTTCAGGCTGTTGGATTCACATTGGCCCAGCTCTGGCCTGTGCGGCCATTTGAATGGGAGTGAACCAGCAGAAGAAAGATTTCTCTCTCTCTCTCTCTCTCTCTCTCTCTCTCTGTTCCTCCCTGTGTGTAACACTGCCTTTCAGGTAAATAAAATTTTGAAAAAAAAAATACTAAATATAAGGAACTGTAGGAATGGAAAGGTATGAAACTTTTCCTTATCTGTCAAAGGAGTCATAGCAACACTTTCACAAAAAAAGACAGGCTAAGAAGAGAAAAGAATAATGAATTAATTTAATCAGTTTTGAATAACAGCCATCAGAATGAAAACCCAAAGACCCAGTGTCAATTTTTATGCTTATGTTCAATGAAGAACAGAGAGCTGGTAGAATATAATTAAATAAATAGGAACTGCCTACTGGTAATGGACTGAGAGGGGAAACCCAGCCAGAACTGTCTTGGACTCACTGTGTACCATTTCTTCATCCTGCACATAGATCATGACCCCTTCAGGGATGACAGCCTCCTGCTCTATTATCAGACAAGTAGGTCAGAGAATGCATCGATGGTCAGCTCTTAAATGAGAAGATGGGGCAAGGTTGGTGTAACATTTCTAGGTTTTATAGCTGTCATTAGGGGAAAGAGATTTTAGTTTCTGTACAAGGAATTCTAGTTTTTTCTTTTATCCGACTCGGCAGAAAAAGGGAAATGAGAATGAACGGCTGTAGAAAGTCAGAATGGGGCCAGCACTGAGGCACAGTGGGGAAAGCGGCTGTCCATGGTGCTGGCATCCCACATGGACACCAGTTCCAGTCCCAGCTGCTCCACTTGCAATCCAGCTCCTTGTTAATGTACCTAGGAAAGCAGCAGAAGATAGCCCAAGTCCATGGGCCCCTGTGCCCACATGGGAGACTGAGAAGAACCTCCTGGCTCCTGGTTCCTGGCTTTAACCTGACCCAGTCCTGGCTGTTGGGGTCATTTGGGGTGTGAACCAATAGTTGGAATATATCTCTCCCTCTCCCTCAGCCTCTCCCTCTCTCTCTCTTTCTATCTCTCTCTCTCTCTGAAAGTCTGCTTTTCAAATGTACAAATTTTAAAAAGTCACAGGGCCAGAGTTGTGGGGCAGCTGGGTAAAGTCCTGTCCTACAGGGCCGGCATCCCATATGGACACCAATTCAAGTCCCGGCTGCTCCATTTCCAATCCAGCTTTCTGCTGTGCCCTGAAAAAGCAATATAAGATGGCCCAAGTCCTTGGGCCCCTGCACCCATGTGGGAGACTTGGAAGAAGCTCCTGGCTCCTGGCTTTGGGTCAGTTCAGCTCTGGCCATTGCAGTCATTTGGGGAGTGATCCAGCAGATGGAAGACCTCTCTCTCTCTCTCACTCTCTCTCTCTCACTCTCTCTCTCTCTCTCTCTCTCTGGCTTTACCTCTCTCTCTGTAACTCTGTCTTTCAAATAAATAAAAACAAATCTTTCAAAAAAAGAAGAAAGTCAAAATGATAATTTTACTTCTAAGGCTCTTCCAATGTCCTTCAGTTTAAAGTGCCAAACTTTGGGGTATCACTTCCTGACTCCCAACAAAACACTGTTTTAGTATTCTTGATTAAATGATTTCCTAAAAATTAATCAAGTGACTCCTTCCTAAAAAATTCACCATGCATCTTAATGAATGTATCTCTATGGGTAGTGCAAAAGAGAATAGAAAGCATTCCTCTTTTCTCAATGAGTTTCCACTCTTAACGTGTTCCTCTGAGCTGTCAAATTGTAAAGTGACTACTTTCCTGAGATCAACTCAGATTTGCATTCAACTAGCCTTAAATTCTATGTAATAATTAATGAAAGATACAATCTATTTTATTTTTATGGAATAGTCACTGATTTTTCCCTTCTATCTTGTCTGTTGACTCCCAAACCACCTTGCAATTTATGTGACAATGTGGCTGCTGGACTTGAGCATCTGCTTTCCAAGTGCTTCCCCACGTTGCCTGAGTCTTGTAAGACAGTGATAAATCCTGTCTGATGATAGGTGACTTAAAATATATATTTTCCTCTGTTCCCACTTTCTTCTGAGGAGTATTTCATTCTATTTTTGAGTTGGGTTGATTGATTCTGTACTAGTTTAAACTCAAGGTCTACAGCAACAAGATGAGAAAAAAAGTGATAGAGATATATTTAAAAGGTGCCTTGGTTTTATCTTCTGATTCATTCAAAAGAGAAGTTCTTTTATGGATAAAAGTTCCTTTATTAAGCTGTAGTTCTCTCAGTCACTACTGGAATAGGCATTACAAAAGAGAAATGCTGACAATTTAATACACACTAAAGGTAAAAGAAGGGTATATTGAGCACTAAAGATTTAGGCTTTGTGCTATTTCTCTCTCTCTCTCCCTCTTCCTCTCTCTCTCTGCATATTTGCACGTGTTGCTTAATTCATTCAATAATTGAAGTAGAAATCTTCAACTGAATAGTGAATATGTAACAGATAAATAAGTATAGGGACGTTATAAAAGAAAACTTGGGGGCCAGCATTGTGACATAGCAGGTAAAGCCACCGCCTGCACTGCCAGCATCCCATATGAGCACTGGTTCAAGTCCTGGCCATTCCACTTCCAATTCAGCTCTCTGCTATGGCCTGGGAAAGCAATGGAGGATAGCCCGAGTGCTTGGGCCCCTGTAGCCACGTGGAAGACTCGGAGGAAGCTCCTGGCTGCTGGCTTTGGATTGGCCCAGCTCAGGCAGTTGCAGCCATTTGGGGAGTGAATCAGCA